CTTGATAGACATTTAGATTAACAATGACCTCAGCTACCGTATTAATTTGATGTTGCATATTATTTAATTGTTGCATCACTTGTTGCCAATCCCCTTGTTCATTAGCCATTTTTTATTTTTTGACACGAAAGAGAAAGACTCCTATAAACAAAAAAAAAAGACGAAGTTGCTCTGATACCAAGTTGATGTAGACACACAAGAAGAAATTGACGCAATGGATAGAACTTAAAACAAACTTTATTAAAATAAAAGCAGACAACTAAGACTTGACAAACACAACAAGAAATATTAGGAGAAATAAAGAAAATTAAAAAGACGCTATCCTCATACAACCATCAGAGCGGGTTCCTCACATGCATCGAATTGTAGGTTAAATAAGAAAAGTGCATAAGACTAGCAAACCGATGGTCCACCACTGCAAGATTGTCCAAATTCTCCCAAATCAACCAAAACACGACACCCTAAAGTTGCTTCACTGTTCAGAATAAGGATACAGATGGAGTGGCACTTGCGGAGAGACGAAGAGGTTAGAAGCCCGAGAAGAAGGGTGGAAAGAGCCCGCAGGATTTCCGGAGGGGATGAGAAAGAAGGGTGGAAAGAGCCCGCATGATTTCCAAACAAACCTGCAGGTTTAATAGCAAATATGCTCACAAATATCAACTAACTTCCTTCACAACATCTACTCTTATTTATAGGCATGGTAGGAGAATGCCAAGAGTCACATCATAATTGGTCTCCTAAAACAAACAGCCCAAAGCCAAAACCGAAGAGACATTCACGGGAGCCAAGGAATTCATGGAAACAAGGGGCCACAGTTTCGAAAAAAAGGACCAGGCACGGAAACAATAGCCAGCTGGAATTCAATGAGGCCCGGTACGAAAAAACAGCAATTTCCATATTAATATTCTGCATTGAATTCAACCACTATTAAAGAGCAGGTCACGGTTTTCCAAGAGACAAGAAGCAAGGGGGAAGGGGAAGAGACAAGGCCACTCCAAAAGTAATTCTTCTTAATGAGGTACCTTTTTGGATATTAATGAGCTACTAAACTTCAGATCAAACAACTCAAGAGAATGAATTCAATACCAAGTGCTCCAAAACAGCCAACCTGTGAACCATCAGCAGTCAAGGACCAGTCGAGCCAGCAAACCAAAGGTCTACCAAGCCTTATGCTATCTACCATGATCATTGGATGCTTTCCCATCATTGGATAGCTAAAAAAGAAAAGAAAATAAAATAGAAAACAAAATATACTATTGTTTAAATAAAAGAAAAGTACAGAAATTCTTGATAGCATCAGATACGAAACTTCAATTTTCAACAGCTTTCCACCCCCAGACTAATGGACAAACCGAGGTAGTTAATAGAAGCTTAGGAAACCTTTTAAGGATTTTAGTAGGCGAACACATTAGAGATTGAGATTCTAAGCTGCCTATTGCTGAATTTTCATATAAAAACTCTGTTAACAGAACCACTGGCCTTAGTCGTGCTGAGATCGTATATGAATACCTACCCAAACAACCCATTGATCTGATTCCCATGAGTCCTAGGGTTAGAATATCAGAGTCTGCATATACATTCACATCTCATCTGCAGGAGTTACACAAAGAAATTAAAAAGAAAATTGAACAAAACAACACTAATTGTAAACTTATTATTGATCATAAAAGAAGATTTAAAGAATTCAAAATTGGAGACTTTGTCATGGTGTGAATCCGTCCGGAGCATTTTTCTCGAGGATCTGCAAAGAAGTTGCATGCGAGAAGTGTCGAACCTTTCAAGATAATTTCAAAGATAAAAAGGTAATGCTTATGTGCTAGACCTCCGAAAAGATTTTAATATTAATCCTACATTTAATATAGAAGATCTAATAACCTTCGAGGGACCAGAGCTTAGCCCCAGTAATCCACTTGCAAATGAGCCTTTCGCGACCCCACCTGGTGAGATCCCGAGCCTACCTCCACTCCCCAGTTTGCCTCACTTACCCGATGTGGAGAAGATCGAAGCCATATTAGATGATGAGATCATTTCCACGAAAGAAGGGGGACGTCGAAGATACTTAGTTTACTGGAAAGGGACCCCGTTGACAGAGGATACGTGGGTTGATCGAGAGGAGCTGCAGAGTTTAGATCCATACCTCCTATAGTTGTACGAGAGCTCTAGGGACACTCACTCGATAGGGTTGAGTTTTCTCCCACCTGGGGAGAATGATGAGGACATCGCAGACATTATCAACAAGTTTATCGACAAAGGAATAGCAGATCAACAGCTATGATTTAACGCCTTACTTTTGATATATGGTGCACCGACACTCCTCAAAGAGGCGTGCAGTGTCCGACACCGTATCCGACACGACACTCGTCCGACACTCCTCCGACATTGTCGGACACGCTGAAAATGTGTCTGATTAAAAAATATTAAATACAAATTGGACACGCGTATCCGACACGCATTTCTTAAATATTTTATGAATTTTTTTAAATATAATTTCTTGTATTTTGCAGGATTTAAACTAAATATCTTATTTCCTATCTACAACACCAAATTAACATCTGCACTTAATACCAATCATCGAATATTCTCATTTTCATTTCTGTTTGACAGTGAAGGTATTTTCATCTCCTCTCTCGATGACTGATAAACGGCATCGACGTCTGACTCTCGACATCCTAATACTAATCATTTTAAGCACAAATTTTAGTTAAATGACTTATTATTTTCAAATTATTTTTAAAATTATACTTAACTTTTATACACTATTTTTAAATATAAAAACTGTAATACCGTGTTCAACCAGTATCCGTATCCTATATTTTCAATAATTGACGTGTCCCGTGTCCGTGTCATATCCATGTCGTCGTGTCCATGTCTGTGCATCATAACTTTTGATGCATTTCTTTATGTTATGTTTTATGTAGTTTTGTTGTTTTCCGAATTTACACCTATGGGGAAGTGTCTTGTTATTGTAGCTCGGAGAGTAATTGTGTACTTTTCTTTTTTCATGTTTGAGACCTATATATATTGGTCTTATGTGTTGTAAGAGTATGATGAATGATTGAATAAAATTTGAGTTTGTCTTCTTCTTCTTCTTGTGTGTGTGCTTGAGAGAAGAGAGAGTCCAGAGTGCGAGCAAGTGCAACACCCACTAGTCATTGAAAGAGTCTGTGGCTCGTGGTCTCCATCTTCCCTCCCCCCCCCCTTCTCTCCACACCCGCCTCCTCTCCACACCCGCCAGCCACTACCCACTTATCTACCGATCTCCACCCTTGTATCCATCCCGATTCAAATCCCACCTTTAAGAAGCATCAAAATCCCCCCCTCCAACCGGCGGCTCAAGCCTCCATTCCTCACACCCGACGCCATCTCCCCCTTTCCTATTGTCGTCGGCCTTCTCCTTGGCTCCACCTCAATTATGATGATTTCAATTATCGTAATTCCCTTCCTAAATTAACTCCAAGTGGAAAAGGAAATAAATTAATCTTATTTGAAATTTCAAATAATTTCCTTGTTTGGAAATCCTAATTAGGAAAGTGCATAAAATCAAGCCTATTTGAAATTCAAATTAGATTGGATTACTTATTGCCTTTCCTAATTCCCATGAGTTGTTTTGGAAACTCTTAAATCCCTCCCCACAAACCTCCTCCTCCTCTTAATGCCGCCGGCCCCCTTATTGGGCTCCTCTCTTGTTTTTTTTCCTCTTTGAACCCTCACCCTATTTGATTTTGAAATCAAATTTCAAATTTAATTCCCTCCAAATCCACTTAAATCCGAATTAATTTCCGATTTACTAATACTTTCTCTCCCACCCTCTAACCTAACCTAATTCCCTCTCAACCAAGCCGCCCTCCCCTCTCTTCCCCTTGGCCACCCCTCTTCACTTGCATCCTCTCCATTGGAAAACCTAAAACTCTCATGTTGTTTGAAGCCAAGAGAAGAAGACAAGTTCTTTCCTCCCTTCTACCATTGGTGTATGTCCGACCCTAAGGTCGACCACGGATTTCTCTTCGACGAGAAAGGACGAACGGATATTCTTGGATCCCCGTTCTTTGACATGTACTTTGGCAACGACGAGATTGTCGACAGATACATCGACCGCATCTTATACCAGCTGACACTATCGATCGAAGAGCACCTTCAACCGGGTCGTTGGATAATCGTCAATCACCCACCGCCTCCTCCACCGCCGGCTACCTCTCCATCAACGAAGGTTTTCGACGCCACCTTCCTAGTGGTAATATTCTTCCTCGTATGGTTCGTCTTTCTCCGCTAAAGCTTAAGAGTGATTGAGTGAGAAGGTACTCAAGGTGAACCTCTCGTTATTAAATGGTGGGTTATGTTATGTGCATGTAACATTTACTCTTGTCTTGAATTTTGATTTGATTGTTTGGTTAATCTCAAAAGCATTTCTTTTCCTAAGCAAGTTAAATACTTGGAATTCCTAACTTCTCTTTATTTGCAAGCAATAATTTTTATTAGCAAGTTTTAATCAATTGTCTCTTTTAATTTCTCAAGTAACACCTAGTAGTTTCACATCAGATAGGTTTATTCACCTTAACTCTATTATAATAAAATTATATGAAGCTATAATTTCTAGCTACTAATGGAAGTTAAATGTAGGAATATCTCAATAATATGTATGATAAAAAGAATATTATGGGCATTAAAGCATAAGTTCGTAAAATTGTATTAAAACAAATATGTAAAATAACAAAGTAGTGTGGAATAAATGAGAATGTTAGTATAAATTTATGTGAAATTTAGAGTGAAAAATGATTACACTAGGGACATGGGAGAAGTAGCATCTATAGAATAGGAGTTGGAAAAGATGAACTCAAGTGGATTGATTAAGTGCAATGTATGGTAGAAAATAAACTAATAAATATAAAACTAAGTAATTAAAAGGAATAAGAAGACTTGCATAACAAAAAATTAGTAAACAGCTCTTCTCGCAACTAGCAATTAAGAAATCATGCCACCTAATATGTTTTGAAGATTTTTACCTCATCAAACCTAATCAAAGTTACAAAAAGACGAATATCAGCCTCTGTCAGCTCATTCGCACAAATATAGCGCTGCTTGCTTAGTATCTCCTCACATTTGTCCAAAGCATCTAATAACTTTACTACAGCCTATGTGGAAGCAGAAAACGTCAGAAAGAACAAAATTTTGTTCAAATGGAGAAGAAAATCATTACCTCTTCATAAGGCCCTTGTTTCTGAGCAAAACCACATTTATATACACCATTGTTTATCGATTCATAAACCCATTCATTGACCTCATCAATTACTGCTTGCAGGTGAGAGGGGTACAAGTCCAAATCAGGATTTTCCGCTATTTCGTTGAACTCCCTGTTGAGCATTCGGATTATTTCTGCACTCTCATTATTTACAATTGTTTTAAGCTGGTTATCCCAAAGGACCTGTTGCATAATTTTTAAAATAATTACATGCTGTCTTAGGCTTCGTTTGGAGCTGCTTTCTTATTGCTTTTTAAAATAACTTTTTAGTTAAAAAATTAAAATTTTTATGCTAAAAAACTGATTTAAGAAACAATAAGAAAGCCGTCCCAAACAGAAGAAAGAAAATTCTTGCCGGAAATAGATTCCAAAGTGAAAAATAAAATAAAAAATAAAAATTGTCATATACGCACAGGAACAGTATATTTTCCTGAATAATTTGAATTTGCAAGCTCATAAAGTTCCCTGATACTCCTGGCTCCATTCAAAGGATCGGGATCAGCCCCAGGTTCTTCTGTGGTAGAACGAGGAAAGACCCAGCCCAAATGCTCATCAGTCTCTTTGGTCCTTTCCCATTTGGTTTTTACTGCCTAAATGGAACTACAGATCTTTAAGAACTAAATATGTAATGATATAAAATACAGTATGACAAAGTCTTTCGAAGCAAAAAAAATGTCACCGTGAAACCAATGGCCTTCTCAAGCCCCTTGAGCTTCAAATATGCCAAACATCTAGATGCCCAGGGGCATACATAAGATATGTAAAGATGGTATCTTCCAGATACTGCAGGGAACTGGGATGCTGAATCTTTTGAAATAAAATTGCGAAAGGTTGAAGGTGTGCGGATGAAAGAACCAGTCGGTGACACCTCATCAAGTGAAGAACGAGACATTGAAAGTATTTACTGAAGAATCCACAACTTGAAAAATAACACAACAATGGTTAATTGATTCTTCTAAAATGCAAACACCAATTGCTTGCCCTTCAGCCCTGTCTGCAGTATTCTGGGGATTGACAACATTAGCATTATTTGTCACAAAAGAAGAAAACTGTAACTTTATAAAGGGGCATGAAACTGAAATACTCAAATCAGTAATATCTCTTCAAATTTATGCTTTCTAACTAGATGCACTAGAACATGTCTGTATATCATAAAAGTTAAAATTTTGTGACTTTAGAAGTAAAGACAGTAACAGAAATACCTGCTGAAAACAGCTCACCTCAACCAACTGGAAGGACAGCTCAGCGACAGTTATAACAAACGAGTGCCAGCTCACTTCTTGGAATTCTAGATAGTTCTGTAAAATGTCTATAAATACTAGTCTTGTAATCTCACACGTGAATACAAGAATTATCTGAATATCTCTTCATGGTATCAGAGCTACGCTATTAATGGCACAATCCTCTGTTTCGTCTCAAATTGGCGAACCAACAGAAGCCATGACAGAAGGATCTACAATCCCTGCTTCACTCAAGTTCGTGATCTCCAATATTCGAAATATGGTACCTACTCAACTGACGAGTGAGAATTACACAATCTGGAAATCACAAATCATTAAACTACTCAAGGCAAATGGGTTTCTACAATTTCTTCTTCCAAATGCGTGTCCACCGGCGAAAGATACGCAGACAGATGAAGGCAGAATCGTAGCAAATCCACAATACGCAGAATGGATTTTGATTGATCAAAATCTTGCTGCAGCAATTTGTTCCACGATATCAGCATCAATTCTGCCATATGTGATTAATCTAGAATCCTGTTCAGCGATCTGGAGCATCATAGAAAGAAGACTGCAAACAACAAACAGATCTATGGTAATACAGCTAAAAAATGAGCTGCACAATTTAACAATGAAAACACAGACGATGACCCAGTATCTCACAGAGATCAAGACTATTGTTGATCAGATCACAGCTGCAGGATCCACCATAGAAGATGAAGACATTCTTATGTATACGATCAATGGACTTCCACCAGCATACCAGGCATTTATAACGTCAATCAGAACCACGTTACATCCCATAAGTCTTGATGACTTATATTCACTTCTTCTCAGTGAAGAAATTCACATTCAAACAGAACCATTGAAGAATCTGTCAATGGCAGAAACTGGGACTGCACTGTATTCATACAGAGGAAGAGGCCGTCGGGGCAGAGGAAGATCTATGCAATCCGGTTCAAGAACAGGATCTAACAATCTCTTCCCACATGCCAAATATGTAATAAAAGAGGACATACTGCTACAGAATGCTGGCATAGACTGAATCCTGATTACAGCCCTCAACCTTACGATCAGAAATAGCAATCAACTCAAAAAGCAATGGTAATGACAACTGATCAGAATAATCCAGATTGGTATCTGGATTCAGGAGCATCATCTCACTTGACAAACTCATCGGACAATCTAAATCAACCAAGATTGTATATGAGAACAGACATTGTAACGATTGGTGATGGCAGAAGCATTCCCATAGCTCACGCTGGATCCGGCATCCTACCTACTCCCAACAATAAGCTTCGGTTATCCTAGATACTTCATATTCCTCAAATTTCTTACAATTTACTGTCAATATCTGCCCTCACAAAAGTTAACAACATTTCAATATCATTTGATGCTCATGGTTTTGTAATCAAGGACTTGAAGATACATCAAGTTCTTCTCAAGGGACCAAGCTCTAAAGGCATGTATCCTATATCAGCCCAGAATAAAGCAGCTCTCACTGCAATGCATCAGTCCCACTCTCTGGCATAAAAGCCTTGGACATCCTCATCATCATGTTCTTAAGCTTATCTCAACTCATCACAAGCATCTTCAAATACCCACCTCTCAAGTGTTGTGTCACGACTGTGTTCTGTCTAAAACTCACAAACTGCATTTCTCTAAGTCAGAAACTAGATCTTCTAGACCTCTTGCTTTAATCCACTCTGATGTGTGGGGACCTTCCCCGGTTGTATCAAGTCATGGATTCAAATACTACATTGTTTTCATAGATGATTTTTCTCGGTTCACATGGGTATTTCCAATGACACAAAAATCTGAAGTTACACGGCTCTTTATAAAATTTAAAAATCTGATTGAAAATCAACTTCAACATAAAATACAATGCTTGAGATCTGACGGGGGAACCGAATATTTGAACTCACACATGAATGATTTTCTCATTCGACATGGCATACAACATCAGACCTCATGTCCCTACACACCAGAACAAAATGGTGTGGCCGAGAGGAAACACAGGCACTTGATTGAGACCACCAGAACTCTTGCATTACCTCTCAGTCTTTGGCCTGAAGCAGTTGTCACTGCATCTTTTCTTATTAACAAATTACCATAAAAAATTACAAATAATGTATCTTTGTTGCAATATCTACACAATATTACACCCGATTACTCAACATTAAAAACATTTGGGTGTCTCTATTTCCCATTACAGCCACCAAACAAAAGACACAAACTTGAACCAAAATCCATTTCTTGTGTTTTCATTTGCTATTCATCCATATCAAAAGGGTACAAATGTTATGATCCAATCACTTGCAAAACATATACATCTAGACATGTCATCTTTGATGAAACCAATTTTCCATTCAAAACAATCATACCAAATCAACCCTCAGATACATCACCAATCCAATCCCCACCTGGTCTTCTACTTCCACATCACACATACCCACTGAAAATAATATCATACACCCTACAGTAAAACCATATACCCCTCCTAACTCTTTGGTTCCTATGAATCATACATCAAACTCCCCTCCACAATCATCTCACAGAGCTTCAGAAGACACATCTTCAGTAAATCAACAAAACCGTGCAAGATCTATACATCTAATGATCACAAGGCAAAAGACGGGATCACTCCGCCCAAAACAAATATTTAATCTGCTTCACACTCACACTGATGAAGCAACATCCAGTGAAGTTGATCCTACAAGTTACACAGAAGCAATTAAGCATGCTCACTGGCGTAAGGCTATGGCTGAAGAATTTCTGGCATTGCAGAAACAAGGCACGTGGCATTTAGTTCCATATCCAGCAAATGCATCGGTTTTGGGCTGCAAGTGGACATATAAAACGAAATGGCATTCGGATGGATCAGTGGCAAGATTCAAAGCTAGGCTGGTAGCACAAGGGAACAATAAAGAATATGGGATCAATTATTAAGATACATTTAGCCCTGTGGCTAAATTTCCCACGATTAGAGCATTGATAACAATAGCTCTATCAAAACAATGGCCTATACATCAACTAGATGTAGTCAATGCATTCTTACATGGTGATCTTGATGAAGAAGTCTATATAAAGCAACCAAAGGGATTTGAGGATACCATTAATCCCAACTATGTATGCAAATTACACAAAGCATTATATGGGCTTAGACAAGTCCCGAGGCAATGGTTTAAAACGTTTAGCACCCATCTCAAGTCTATCGGGTTTAAGAATGGCATAGTTGACACCTCTTTATTTGTGTTTCAACAAAATCAAGTGGAGATATACATGATAATCTATGTGGATGACATTTTATTAACTGGTAATGATAGCACCATGATCGCTCAAACAATCAGACAGTTAAATTAGAAATTCGCCATGAAAGACCTGGGGACAATCACAAACTTCCTCAGTATACAGATCAACAAAAATGAAGATACTTACTTCATGTCTCAAACAACATATGCTAAGTCTATAATTCAGAATGCAGGACTAACTCAATGCAAACCAACAGCTACTCCTACCTATACTAAATACACAACAGTAACCAAAATTGACACGATCACGATGGAAGCTCACACATATCACCAAATTACTTGAGCCTTATAGTACCTAACCATCACCAGACCAGATATTACATATGCAGTTAACGTGCTATGTCAAAACATGCACAATCCAGCTCAAGAACATATGCATATGCTCAAGAAACTGCTGAGATATATAAAAGGCACAGTTAACTTTGGCATTCCAGTTTCAACTGGACCACTTGAAGTTCATTCCTACTCAGATGCTGACTGGGCAGGGGACAAACAAACGAGAAGGTCGACAACAGGATATTGTACGTTTTTAGGAAATACTATTCTCTCATGGTGTGAAAAGAAACAACACACAGTGGCCCGGTCTTCCACAGAGGCGGAATACAGGCACTGGCTGAGGCAACAACATAAGTTATTTGGATAAGAAAACTGCTCAAAGATTTTAATATAGAACTCACCACACCAACTGAAATAAGGTGTGATAATACATCAGCAATAGCATTAGCAAATAACCCTATATTCCATGCAAGGACAAAGCATATTGAAATTGACCAACATTTCATCTGGGATCATATTCAGTTTCAACATATCAGTATAGTCCCGATTACAACTCAAGACCAAATAGCAGATATACTAAACAAACCTCTGTCTACAAATCGTTTCAAGCAGCTAAGGAGCAACCTGACATTTCAAGCAGAACCGTCATCTTGAGGAAGGATAAAGACAATACAGAAATACCGGCTGAAAACAGCTCACCTCAACCAGCTGGAAGGACAGCTCAGCGACAGTTATAACAAACGAGTGCCAGCTCACTTCTTGGAATTCTAGATAGTTCTGTAAAATGTTTATAAATACTAGTCTTGTAATCTCACACATGAATACAAGAATTATCTGAATATCTCTTCAAGAAGCCGTGAATTATATAAACAGTAATGTACTTTCTATGCTACTATTTAAGGCCTCGTTTGTCGCAGCTTATTTTCTCCTTCTCCGTTTGAAACGGCATTTGACGCTGTTTAAATATGTTGCTTATGTGGAAATGTTTTTTTACAGAACTTCATTTTTTACTGTTTTAAGAAGTTTCTTGACATATGCTTCTTCGTTTGAGAACTTCATTTGCTCCACCAACATTTTTAAAACTACCTTTTTACAAAAGTTAAGAGAAAACCAAATGAAGCCTAAAAGATACTTAAAACGCCACCATTGAAGAATATCAACCCATTATATAAAAAAGAGAATCATATCCGTTCATTTTTTATTTATAATTTTACATGATATTTTCTTATTTATTGTTGACCTGCACCTAAGACAAAATAAAAAATAAAAAATAAAAAATGCATACCATACCTTCCATGCAATCCAACGATCTCGGCAAGTCGAGCTTCGCATGACCCACGTCGCACGACTCGCTCGCGTCGTTGGCCAAAGAGATGAGGCCTTCGGCCTCCTCTTTCTCGCTCTTTCACTCTCCTAAGCTCTCTAACTCTCTCATCGCCATTCGACTTCGCTCCTTCCACGATCCTCCCTTCTCCTGTCCGACCAGAAGCTACAACGGTTTGATCGGAAACAACATCAGAGCTCGCTCGCTTTGATAGGAAGCTTTCTCCCTTTCGCGCCTCCTTCGTGTCCGGACGACTTCGCTCATTCGACAACTTTCCCTTCCCGTCTATCGGAAGCTACAACAATTTGATCGGAAGAAATCGCGGCAGCTCGCTTGCAGTAAAGGTCACTTTCTCCCTATCGTGCATGTCTTCGGCTTCCTCCCTCGACGACGTTCCCTTCAGTCGGACCAGAAGTCACGACATTTTGATCGGAGCCAATCATGGGAGCCGCTCGTTGTGAAGTTAACGATCTCCCTTTCGTGTGCTATCTCGGCCAAATCCTGTAGCTCCTTCGCCTCCGTGCTGTTTGACTTCGCTCCTCCAACGACATTTCCTTCATGTCTGATCGTAATCAACACAGGAGCTCGCCGCTGTGAAGGTAGCGACCTCCCTTTTGGAGAGCTTCTGCGGCCAAATCCCGTGCCAAACAGCCTTTTTTGGGCATTTTTTATTTTATTATTATAATTATTTATTTTTAAATATAATTAATTAATTTAATTATGAGTTAGTATTAATTAGTTAAATTTAATTCCAATTAATTATATTAATTATAATTAATATTTAATTAATCATAATTAATTAAGGTTAATTATCTTTGATTAGTGTTAATTATAATTACTAATTAACTGTAAATTAGTTTTAATTAATTAAAGTAATTATAAATAATTTTTTTAAATGATAATTAATTATTATTAATCATTACTTAATCATAATTAATTAAATTTAATTATGTTTAATTATTTTAATATAATTAATCGTATATTAATTATAATTAATTAAATCTAATCATAATTCATTATAATTAATTATTATTATTATTAATTAATTGTAATTAATTAAAATAAAATAAAACCCCCTCTCTTACCTCGATGTGCATGTCGAGCCGGCAAACACGCTTTTCTCTAGTGTGGTGGGAAGGGAACCCGGTGCGACAACTACGAAGAGGTAGGTGAACGACTCGGCTCCAAAATCCTTTCCTTGGTGTGTGTGTCGAGCTGATCAACCACTTATACACGCTTTTCTTAGCGTGGGAGGGGATCCGGTGCGACGCATGCGACGAGGCAGGTAAGCCCGGTGCACTCTTTTCTTAGCGTGACTTAGACAATTCTTAAGTACCCGTACACGGCTCTATACCTGAGGGGAAACAACTATTTTTCTTGTAACAGGTACCGAAGACCCATACACGCTTTTCTTAGCGTGATGGGGACAAAGACTTTACGGCTGCGGTGTCCTCGTATGAGGGCACCTATCATACACGTTTTTCTCAACATGGCGGGAGGCCCAGTTTTCCATAGTTTTTTCCTAAACGGGGGAGACGTCGGGAGGCTGCTGAAATTTTAGGTGAATATATGACTGCACTCGGACCTGATTTTGACTCAAATGAACACGAACTAGTGGACTTGACTTGTATTTGAACATAACTCAAATTATTAATCAAGACCTGAACCAAATAAAATAAGTTCGAATTTGAAACGGAATTAAATATCAATACGAACATGTAATTGAAGTTGCAAGGACTTCAGAAGACTTTGAACAAGCACTTCAACATGTACTCTGAACTCAAACTGGAACAAGATGTGGACAACAAGAACCTGTGGACTTAGATGTGACATAGTACATATGCACTAGACTTGCAAGTGAACTTGCATATTAAACTCAAGCTGAATTCAAACTTCAAATGAACATAAAGAACTAAACCCAATTTAAACTTAATCGAACTGCAAGAAGCTTGAATTTCCAATGACATCACAAGACTTGCCTACAAACAAGTGTAGAAGACTTGTAATGAGCATATGTTGTAAACTACGGTACACATACAACTTGCTTATGATTAAAAGAGCAAGAGCAATGAGCATGTCAATAAGAATACAATCAATGAAATATGCATGAGTTGTAGCGAGAATCATGTGGTGATATGTTCACAAGAAAAGCAAGGGAGATGTAGGAGAGCGGATCCTTTGTTATCAATGAAGGCTAATGTGTAAATGAGTACACAAGAGTTTACTTTCAAATGAGAAAAATAGATATGCTACAGGGCCCTTGATTTATGTATATCCAACATGAAATATGTAGTATTCATATCAATCGACCAATGAACTTGTATATTGAAGATTAGAAGCTCTAATGAAGAGAACTATTAGTTGATGCAACGACTGATATGCAACAGATATAAGCACCTGCAAACTCTTATAGCAAGGGTATTCTAGCATCCTCGGAAGTCAACATACAATGAACCATATGACTTACCAACAGTTGTATAAAAGGACTGCAATATAATGGCAAGCAAATACCTCAAATAGAGGAGCTCCAATATATGTAATGATCTATCCATGAGCGGTGCAGTGATATGATCATGAGTCAAGTTTGGAGATCTAAACATCTCTGCAAAGCATGAAGAATGTGCAATGCTTGCAATGCAACATCCTCGTAACCAACATCGAGGTACAAGCAGGCACACTACAAGACCTCAATGCGTACAAACAAAGAATGTAGTGGACACTTACAACCATCTCTATAAGATCAAGTACATCGTATATGTAAGAACAACGAATGGTTGCAGAATGCATATGTGTGTCCTATATGCGCTATTGAAATCTCCAGCACAAGCAACATTGCCTGTAGATTGAGACGACAATACTGGCATTTGATAGTAAAAGACCCGTCCCTACAAACAAGTACGATCATGAGATAGGTGAAAGGTAGATATAATGCAGGAACAATGGCTCTTCCACGAACACTTTTAGGAGGTCGTAGTGAATACGAGTCCCTGTAAATAAATATGAACCGCTTGTGGATAACAACAGAGGGTATATTGTGAGTACAACGAACCCCTGTGGACACAAGTACATATCTCACCTACAGCAGCGGTTATTGAGATGCTGCAAAGTATGTAGGGTATGAAGACAACTCGATGTACGAAAAAGGACACCTCCTGACATAATGGAAGAGATGTTTGAGCAAATTCGAACTAAGTGTCCTGGTGTTCCAAAATTTCTTCTTGGTCCTGTATTTAGGAAGAAAACAGTTCTGACATCCACAAACACCGGAAATAACAAGTCTACTACACTGATAATCTTAAAAGGAGTTATTTTCAAAGCACTGGTCATGAAAGTCCATAAGGACCTCTCGGTGAATGAGAAAAGGAAGTCTGTATCAAAACAATGAAATATCTCATTGCAATCAGGTGACAACGTTATGATTCACCTGTATCTAAAAGCAGGGGATTTGTTAGTGCACTATGATCCGACTGCAAAAAGAGACAAGTAGTGCACGACAGTTTACCTATACAAAACAGCAAACAACTCAATTCAGAAGATGCTACATCATGCCACCGGATCCACAACATCGATGCAAGCGGACAGAAGGCGTTTACAAATATTCCCCGCACATACACCATAATTTGTATACACATAGGTACACAAAAGGGCAAGTGCAATCATACACCCGCATGGGCCCCGGCGAGCATGTTGTAAGAACACACGCGACGTCTAGGGATGCTGCGCAGGTCAATAGATTTGAACCTGATCCTCCTAAGCAGGTAAATAGGAGTCGACAAGGTTCAACAAATAATTATAAAATACCCCCAAACACCCTCATGGGCCCCGGCGAGCGTGTTATTGGTACACACGTGACGTCTAGGGATGTTGCGCGGGTCAATAAATGAACGTAGTACGAGCTCGATCCTTCTATGCTGATAGATAGGAGTTGTTACGATTCGAACTATCAAACATATATACAGTCCTGATATCGACTGGAATATCTATTTTATACGTTCATATAAGACCTTCAACAAAGAAAATTCATTAAATTTCCAAATGACCCCACACCTCGATGATGGTCGTGTTGAATGTTAATATCAACCGGAGGAGTCCATTCCAAATATTTAAAATATCACTCTAAAAACCCGACAATCCAAACTTTCAAAAATCATCAAAATCCAGAAATATTTAAAATTGAAATCCAATCATCAACCACTTAAAGAAAATCTATCCACCATCCGCAACAGTTTGCCAAGGTGGACAAATTTGAAAATAACTTCAGCTCACATAGAGCTAAATACCTGGTCGAAAATATCACTAGGATCTATTCTCAAACAATCTCCTTCCATTAAGGACGTGGTACGTGTCCTCTAACTGGCGGTTTTGCCATCAAATGGCACCGCAAGATAAACAGTTATGACCTGGGGCCCTCTGAACCGAGTGATTTTGCCGCCAAATGGCACCACGAAATACCAGTTATGGCCAGAGCCAATACGCTCTTTAGTGGCATCAAATTCTTGAGATATGAATCAATAATATATAATTGATAGAGCACAAAGCTCTTTGTTAGCTAAGGTGGATTCAAATTTGTCCCCTTAGGCAAATATTACCCCCAAGTATGCAAGGTCCCCTTGGACGAAGAAACCCATGGCTGCCGACAAGGATCATTCTGTCAAGTTGGGTCGACTATCTCCTCTGACTAAGTAAACCAGGGACCACGATGGGCCGGGACGACGGAACTATGGGATCTTGATCGGGTCTATCATCCATTCCCCACTATCAGCTTTAGGTCAAGATGGTGAAATTTCTAATTTTAAATATCAAATCTTCAAATTATCAACCATTTACAAGCTCTTCAAAGCTCAAGTCCATGCTGCAAATATACGCCTGATACTACGTATCTAATCGACGACTAGTCTTAATCGAAAGTTCTCACTCATTATTGGGAGGGGTAATTGACTATAGGGGCTTGCGCCTATAGGAAACTAGAACTCAGATCATAAAGTCCTCGCAAAATGAGGGCGAAATCTCTGGGTAGTGTCTTATCTACAAACCCATATGCCTTCCAAAATTTACCCCGAAACTTAACTCCGTTAAAACTCCCCCGAACAAAAGAAAAGCAATTAGAGGGCGGCAGAGGCCAGGGCCGAATTTTTGGAGCCCACATTTATCAATCTAATTTACATAAATTAATTAGAAAGAGACTTATAGACTTGTATCTAATTGCTAAGTAGTCAAATTTTTTTATACTTTGCATAGCATTTAGTGTCTAATTTAAAAAAAAAAACAAATTAATTCATCTAACCATTTTCTTAAATCTCCAATAAAGATAATGTATGTGTGTGTGTAATTTAGTATTGAATTATTTTCTCATCTCATGTGAAGATCTAAATAATAATTTAAAAAATGCTTAATTTAATTTTAATAAAAACAAAACAATTTTTTATTTAACTTAATGATCTTCTATAATTTTGCAAAATCAAAGCATAAATTATTAAGTATGTGAACATAATGTGCTTAGTGTGCGTACATTCTCACTAGTAAAAGAAACATCCATGAATTACCTTGACCTTTTAAGAAATAACAAAACAAAAATTTTCAAACATTGTAAAAGGAAGTTTGAATTTATAAAATTATACACAAGCAATACCTGTTATTTGAAATTGACCTAACATT